TGAGTTTTTTTTTTTTTTTTTTTTTCCCCTTTTTGAGACAGGGTCTCACTCTGTTTCCTGGGCTGGAGTGCAGTGGTGTCATCATAATTCACTACAGCCTCAAACTCTTGGGCTCAAGCGATCCTATTGCCTTGGCCTCCCAAAGTGCTAGGATTACGGGCATGAGCCACCACCGCCTGGCCTCATTCTTTTCTTTTACCCCCCACCTCCAGTTAGATTCTACACTCTTTCCCCATTCTTGCTCTCCTTGTCTTAATTGAGGCCTTAATCATTTATTGCCCAGATTATTACTATACCTGTTTCAGATTGATTCTTTGCTCTGTTGCTTTCCTAACTGTTAGATCCCTCACACTACAGCCAGTGTAACATTTTTCTACTTGCTCCAGTCAGATATCTTGGAGTGACTTCTTTGAGCTGAATTTACTAAATTTCATCAGTGCTAGCTTCAAAATATCTGGATTTTGACACTTAACATCTCTACACCTGCCATTCTGATCTAAGCCATCACTGTTTCTTATCTATATTGCTGTATAGCATCCTATCAGTTTTCTATCCTTTTGCCCTTGCCTCCCTTTGTTTTGTTTGTTCTTCACTCAGTGGCTAGGGTGATATTTTAAAAGCATTAGTGAGATCATGTCACTCCTCTGCTTAAAATCTTCTTAATTGTATCTTTTCATCTTAGAGTAAAAGACAAAGTCCTTATATAATGGCCAATAAGGAGGTCCTTATTGCCCTGCTGTTTCTCTGACCTCATCTCATGGCACTCTGTGTCTCTCATTCTTGAAACCCTAGCCACAGCTGGAATCCTTGCTGTTCCTTGAATGCAACAGTCAAGCTTCCTCCTCAGGGACTTTGCGATTGTTGTCCTTTTTTTTTTTTTTTTTTTAAAGAGACAGGGTCTCTGTCACCTAGGCTGGAGTGCAGTGCAGTGCGTAGCTCACTGCAGCCTGAAACTCCTGGGCTCAAGGATCTTACCTGCTTCAGCCTCCCAAGTAGCTGGCACTACAGGTACATGCCATCACGCCTGGCTAATTTTTTTTTCTTTACTAATTTTTTGGGGGGGAGGAGGGACAGAGTCTTGCTCTGTTGCGTGGGCTAGAGTGCTGTGGGGTCAGCCTAGCTCACAGCAACCTCAAACTCCTGGGCTCAAGCAATCCTCCTGCCTCAGCCTCCCGAGTAGCTGGGATTACAGGCGTGCACCACCACAACCGGCTAATTTTTTTTTCCTATTTCTAGTTGTCTGGCTAATTTTTTTCTATTTTTAGTAGAGACGGGTCTCAGTCTTACTCAGGCTGGTCTTGAACTCCTGGCCTCAAGATATCCTCCTGCCTTGGCCTCCCAGAGTGCTAGGATTACAGATGTGAGCCACAGTACCTGGCTTTGTTGTTTTTGCCTAGAAAGTTCCTCATATATCTACATGGTTCCTTCATCTTCTTCAAGTCCCTGTAATAGATGTCACGTTTATATTCAATATAAATGTATTTTCTGCCTATAGGTGTGCTGTAGCAGAAGGGTTTCTTTCTTTTCCTCCTAAGTTCAAAAAAGTGTATAAAAGCTTCTTTCAGTGTTTAATTTGTCTGCTGAATTCTTTTTGGAAAAAGTATAGTAAATGAACTGTATTAGAAGTGAACTGTATTTGCTGAACTTCATCTTTGACTTTATACTCTGCTAGCCACTACCGGAAGCGATCAGCATCACGGGGACGCTCTGGAAGTCGATCTAGAAGTCGCTCGCCCTCCGACAAAAGAAGTAAACGTGGAGATGACAGACGGTCTAGAAGTAGAGACAGAGATAGAAGGAGAGAGAGATCTCGTAGCAGGGATAAAAGAAGATCTCGGTCAAGGGACAGGAAGCGTCTGAGGTAAGACATTAATTTCCAAAGGGCCAGTGGTAAATTGGGCCTTCTCAGCTAAATTGGGCTTCTTCAAAAGTGTGTTTTGCACCGTAATTTGGTGGCACATTTGTGGGCCCTCTGCTTTATCCCTGGCTTCTCTGATTAGACCCAGAAGGATTTGTCTATAAAGACTCCTCAAACAATTTTAGTTTGGAAACTTTAGGCTGTATTTCCTAAACCCAAAGAGAACCCTTGAAGCCCCCTGAAGGAGGTAAAAAATGAACTAAACTGTGAGGTAATAAGTTTTTCCCCAAGAGAGCTGACCATTGTGTTCATAGTACCTTTTATAACAATAGCATTTTTTTTTTTTTTGAGACAGAGTCTCACTCTGCTGCCCGGGCTAGAGTGCTGTGGCTTCAGCCTAGCTCACAGCAACCTCAGACGCCTGGGCTCAAGCGATCCTCCTGCCTCAGCCTCCCAGGTA